TTTATCACCTCAGCATTTGTACTTCACTCTCTTTTGCTTGCTTCTTCTCTCTTCCCTTACAAATACACAAACAGAAATCCAAGTATTTATACTCTGATAGGCTGAAATACTTTAAAATTAAATTTTTATGCTCATCCTCAGTAGCTCTGTTTCTTCCTTGTCACAAACAACCAAAAAAAAAAAAAACCCATGTTCTAATATAATTATGTGATGCTTCTTACTTTTCTGAACTAAAAGAATAAATTTTTCAATATAATTTTCAACTTTTTATCTTTATTATTATCTGAAATATTAGATAACACTTTTGATTAACAACAATATTTGTCTTTTTACAATGTCAAACATATTTTGTGTATTTTAGTTATCAACACATTACTCTGTTACCTTGTATTTCAAAAATGCAGAAGGAACAGTTTCAGCAGCGGGATTTTATTATTTTTTCAAATTAATAATTAATGTAATAAGGCTTTTTAAAATGTCCTGCCTTCCAAGCAAACCTTGTATCCAGGCAGTGGGAAAATGATAGAAGGAAGGATTCCTTACAGTGAAATTGCATTTGATGCCACATAACTAATTGCAGCTTTAAAATTGACAAATCAAATTCAAATTTCTAGTCAAAAATATCAATTTATTTCAGCATCTTTGCTGCTTGCTCTTCACAGCTGTTCCCTAAAAAATAAATATTTACAATTTGTTTCTTTTTCTTTTTTTTTTTTTTAAATATTTACATTCTTTTGCAGTCTTTAATAATGATTGCTAGGCTTTCAGATCTCCAAAAATATAACCATATTACCATAGCCAGGTGCATGAACCTAAATAAAGACTTTAGTCATGAGTGAACTTCTCAAGATGTTCAGTTTCCAGTGCATATGAGAAGTTTGGATTTGAAAATCAAGGGATGGTAAAAACAAAGGTAAAAAAGGACAAAAAAGAAACTGTGTTCTTCCCTTTTTTGTTTTGTAGACACAGTTATTAGGAACTACTGGATTTGGACATCGATATGGCTGCATCTGTATTTTATTCCCTAGTGTTATGGTATTAAAGGAGTCCCTGAGCTCACCCCTCCTCTAGACACGGCTCTGTTTGAAAGGATGCACTCTGGCAAACCACAGCTACCAGTGGGGTTTGCTGGCATTCCCAGCATGCTCACAACTACTATCCAAGATATTCCATCTTCCAGGAGGTTGAATAAATACTCTCCCCTCTACATGTCTGCTTTTAGTGCTTGAAAAAGTCATTATAGACTGGCTATAATAACGGTGGAAATAATGCAGCTATTTTAGATGAAGATCCATAGCAGTCTGGTAGGGGTTCTCATGATGCAGTTTCTGATATTACAGTAGGCACCACATTTTTTATGTGCTGAGACACCAGTCATTTGGGAAAACAACTGCTGAGCTCAAGGCCTTGACATGTCTACTTTTTTTTTTTTTTTTTTTTTTTTTTTTTTTTTTTTTTTTTTCTAGATAGGGGTCTCAAGCTTGCAGGATGACAGGCCTTCCTTTCTACCCAGCTCCCAATATAAAACTTTCTAGGCTCCTAAAATATAAGCTGTTTGGTGGGAGGTGGGGTATGTACAGGTTGTGTCTGTACGCTCATTTCTGAGTTAAGCTACCTATTGAAGGAAATGATCTAGAGGATAAAAAATCATGCACGGTGCCAATGGTGAGCTCTTAGAATAGAAAAAGATGTCGTAAAGACTATTGTTCCCTCCTCCTCAACACTAACTCCAGCGTTAGGATTCAGTTACCATTTTTTCTTGCTTTTCTTCTCAACCTTCTTTTTCCTTTTCTTTGGACATGTGGTCTTAGAACACGACTGACAGGATAATGACATTTTCAGGTAGATAAAAGACGTTTTTTAGTTCTTTGCAGGATGCACAGTATCCCGGGGAACAAAACAGTAATATTTTTCATAGATAATTTTATAATCCTATTTACCGCTTAAGGACTGTCTGAAACGATTCCATATGCACAGACTAAAAATCACATATTTCATTTTCCACATTTCATATTCTTTCACATTTCTTTGTTGAGATGAGGCATATTTGTTCTAGGAATGTATCCACAAGCAAGAACACCTAGCTAAGGCAGTCAAACCTGTAACCAGCAGTAGCCTTTCCTGAAACAAGTTCTGTGCACTAGCACAGTAGTAAATGCAAAGATAAAATGGGAGATCTGTTCTAAAAAAAGCCTTGTGAAATTGTTTGATCCTGACTCTCAACTAAATCCATTTCTTACGAAGGACCTAGTAGCAGTATGACAGATTCTGTTTTATTAAACCTGAATTTATTAATTTCATATTATGCACTAGAACATTTATTGGATAGCATGAAGAATTATGTTAAATACATATCAAGACGTCTTCTGTACTGTTACCTCTGCTTTTTTGAGCTGGCTTTGACACTCAGTAGATATACATGTCACCATCAGAGTGCCTTTCAGCAGCCTACAGGAGATCCAGAAGATGGTTCTGGTCTGCTGCCAACAGCCACCAAAATAGAGAGTCAATATTTTTCATTTCAGTGTTCACCACTACTGGGATACAATAATAACAGTAACTGAAAAACAATAACTTATTGCTTAGGCAAATGCTAAAGGCTTTATTATCCTCTCTCCCCAGAAACCAAATATTTGTGGGATGCAAGTGCTACTGTCTATAAAGAAAGGTTTTGCTTTCATTAAAAAAAGGTTTGTGAAACTCTGTTCATAAATAGATTATTGGTTCCATTTGAATGTCTTAGATTCTGAGATATTACCAGCAAGAGTGTGGGCTAAATGATAAGATAAAATTATAGTAATAAGAGGTTTGGAAAGCTACAGAATCTGCTGCAACACTAGAAAGCTATAATTTTCTTTAAATTGTAGTAATTCCGTTTCTTCTATTCAAGTATTTAAGTTATACAGACTAAAGAGCATAATATTTATAATTTTTATTCATATTTATCAAACCTCATTTACAAATGATTTCTGTAAAATTTTTTTAATTTATAGTATCCTGTCTTTGTTCATAGAGAATATCTGTAGAGTTTGGCTGAAACGTGTGGCAACTCTATGGAGATGCTCATAAACTGTATTTTGACTCTCTTGAGAAATTAAAATATCGAGTTATATTATTAACATATGCCCCCTAACTGGAACGAATGCCTTCATTTTCAAAAATCACTTGATAGCACATAATAATAATAATAATAATACAAAGAACCCAACTTATGCTGGTCACCATTTTCCCAGGAAAGTTGCATTTCCAAGCACTGCTCAGCACAGCTCTACCTGCTGCCACACCACAACAATGACAACCACACTACAGCTTTCACATGCTGTGTGAGGCATGCTGTCCTTGAACCCTAAGAAACAACGCTCAAAACCACAACTGACTGAGAGCTTTGCATCAGAAGCAATGTCTAATGAATAATAAAAAAACCCTATTAACTCCAAAGCCTAAATATTTTACGGAAGATTCTTTTTGTTTCCCTGTTTTTTCTCATGTTTCTACCACACAACCTGAAACAAGTATTTACTGTTGCCTAGTTTGACCTGCTTCTGACAACTCTGGTTTGCAGAAATGACCTGAAATATTAATTTTCAAATGTATTTCCTATTGGGTTATCTTGCCTCCTGGGGACAGTGGACCAGAGGCCTGGATGCATTTGCAGATCCCCTGCGCTCTTCTAATCAGGACTCATACGTGTTTTGGTAGAATCACGTCAATAAATTAAGTCAGGAAACATTTAGATTTAGAAAAGCCTTAGTTTTACTTGGGGAAAAAAAAAAAAAAAAACATATGATGAAAAAAATGTGCTACTGTTTTAAATAATTTTTGAACTTTTAATTCCTTGAACACTTTTCATACGTTAATTTTTATCCTCATGGGGAAGCCAAACAATTATTAGGCAATTTATACAGGACCATAGATGCTTAAAACATAAAGCTTAGTGCTGTCAGAAAAGGATAATATACAACTGATCATAGACCTATCCTTTCAAGGTTCTTGCTTTTTTTTGGTTATAGCCTTGCTTTTTTTTAGTTATAACCTGTATTTTTCAATACCTGATTTTTTATCACCTTTTGGACCTACTGCTATAAAATCAGTAAGTTTCTTACTAATCAAGGAGGTAAGAGTTTCACTTTTTGCTTTCATTAAACCTGTGTTTCAGTTACTCTAGATGTGGAAAAATATTACAAGTAGGTACAATATTTATACATATACATGTAGACATGCATATACTCAAACACACAAAAAATATGGTACTTTTTCACTTCTACATAAAGAAAGAAGAAAGGTACATACATCACTTAAGAGAACATCTTTTTACATCACAGTATGCATATAAATATTATGCAGTGGTAATTATTCTTACCATTCCCTACACATTACTCTCATAATGTAGCTCTTAATTTTTTTTTCTGATGATTTCTGCTGCAAATTTCCATCCATCTCTGTGAATTCTGCTTGTGAGCTGTGAGTTACATTACATTTATCAACTGTATATGATGTGCACTATATTGCAGTCAAAGGGAAGAAACTGAAATACCAAATGCTGCTCCTATTCACACCTGCTCAGAGGTCTAGTGGCTCTTTCAGAATTTAGATAAAATAACAGTATTAAATGGGATTATACAGACTTGAAATTCCATACACCTCAGTTAAAGTTTAACACACAGCTGCTTTATATCATGCCCTATTTAACATTTGTGACTACACATTTGACAAAATTTCCCCCAAAAAATGTTTCCATGACCTCTTCTAGTCACCTGACAGACATATGCAGTAACATTTTTTTTCTACAGAAAAATCACTCACTCATCTAGGGCTCCTTACAGACAGCTATTATTTCCGCCCTAAGAAGTAGCAGCTAAAATACTATCTCTCTGTTAAAAAGTAACTCTCTACTTCAAAACAGAAGATATGAAAGATTTACCATTAACAAATATATGCACACGCTGGAAATCAAGAGTTTCATCTCATTTACTGTAAAAAGATAATAAGCTGTGTCCTACCTATGGTGGTAATAACAGTGCCAGCAAAGAAGAAGGAGCTTCCCAAGTCCCAGTGACTGATCTGAGCAGATGTGTTTCTTAAAGGTATGATTCCTGCATTTATTGCTGCCACTACTTGCTGCAAGTTTAAAAAGATTTTTGTCAATATTCATGAAAAAGTGATATTCATATACATTACACAGTAAATTGATTCAATCACTTATTTGATCCAAGCAATGAATTAGAAAAGAATCTGTGTTGCTTTGCTCAAGCTCTATCATTCAGTCAGGCCACAATTTAATCTTCAGCAGACACCCCAGGCACTTCAGCACACAGCAGAGCTGTAAATTTTAGACCATTAGAGAGAATGCAAAATCCGCAACATCAGTAACATTATCACCTTAGATAGATAGCAAACACAATTACTTTTACTGCTGCAACTATTTAGTGAAGACAAACATGCATTAGACAAAATTTATAATGAGTTTCCCCAAGTGTTCATCTCTTGAGTTTGTCAAGCAAATGGACTTCTCAAAAACAGTCATTTTAAAACACCAAGAAAAATGCCCATGAATTGTTCTGGATCAAACTAACTCAAAGTAATAAAAACAATTTTATGTAACAGATAATTCAATATTTAAAGAAATTACACTTACAGTTATAAAACTTTCACTGTAGCAACAAAAAGTTACAAATCAAGTATCCAGCAAGCTTATGCAACTATATATTTCATAAATGTCTTGAAATTACTAAAATTCTTGAAAAATTCAGTTCTAGCATCTGAAACAAACAAACTTGCCACTAGTGACATTTTCATAGTCTCAAGAAATAGGAAACATTTCCTTTTTCAGCAGTGTCACCTACTGTAAATTCTTACCACAAAACATATTCTTGTTTAGTTATATCACTATTGCAGATATAATTAAGTCATTAATTGGTACACCTCAAGAAAAAGTATTTTTAAGCTTGCAATAAGTATTTCAAGGAATATAAGTTATCATTTATTTCTGAAACTTCAAAACAGGACTTATTTCATAATCATGATCCTTAGAGTAATAATTGGTGTCTATCAAAAGAACAACAAAGAAACCAACACAACAGAGCAAAAATGAGCATTTTAACTAAATAATAGTTTATTCTTGTCAAGTTGTCCAACAATCACTACTTACATAAATATATTTAGCAATAGGGCAGACTAGAACCATTTTCCTCATGGGTAGCCTGTTGCAGAGGAACAGTATTGTACAGTAGTAATATCTTTTTCAGCTCCCAAAAACACTGATAGCTTGCAAATTAAAATATTTTTGTTACTAAACAGTGCCCATAGAAGTCACTTGCTATGGACAGAAATTACAAAATATCAATGCTGGATTAGCCAGGATATTGACTTTTCGTGATGGGATCTCAGCTTAAATCCACCATTTCCAGTTTGTCATTCTCAAATCTCAGATGCACAAAGTAACCGTTTTAAAGTCCACATCTGCATCTCCAAAGCCACAGAGATCTTGCTGCCACACCTAAGCCATTTCCACCATCCAGGGTTGTCAACAGAAAGCCAGCTGGAGTATTTTTACATAGCCTTTAGACTGTTTTCACTTTAACTTCTTTTTTTATTTTTCTTTTTTTTAATACCAGAAAGGCAGACATCAAAGATGTGGAATTTTCAGTCCTACTGAGCAAGGGGAAAGGATGAGGAAAGCAAGAGGGAAGAGAGTTTAATTTTCTTTTGGATTGGAAGAATAAAGCTTCTACATTTGTACATCATGTACAACTTGGCAAGAGCAAATACAGCAGCACTGATGCTGACAGGTGTTTCCATCAGTATAGAAAGGAACACATCAGACTAAGAAGCATGTGAAAACCATCTCTTGTATTGATTTCATAATTTACACAACATAGAAATTCCTTTCACTTACAAACCCCAGTGTGCTGTATTGTACAGTGCCTACTGAACACATTTTGTGCACTGTTACATTTCAGTGGACTAAGAACTTCCATCACAAGTCACTGTACCTGAAAACATGCTCTCCAGTGAGGCATCATGTGATACAGCATTGGATCATGACAATTTTTGGGGACCATTCATGTTTTATTATAGTTTCTTGTACTGGATGAATGCGCTACTCAGAGCAACACACCTGTTAGGACAGTCTAGCAAGGCCAAGTGCTATACAGATCCTGACACAAAATGTTTTCCGGGCTTTTTATCATAGTACACCAACATCTTTTATATGAAAGGTGTGTCAATGTAGACTGCTCAAAGATCCATTACAGCCACGCATTTCCGAACTACATATACCTCACCTACAGACTTACAGGAAAAACAATACAGCTTAACCCAAAATTGCCCAAAGCACAACAGGTGGCTACAAAAGACAATTAGCTGCTATTATTACATCTCTGATTTTATCTAACTGCTAACTAGGAAAAGAATCAGGGCTGCTTTCAGTGATACAGCCTCCTAAGTTCTGACTATGCATACTTTTAGGGACTTTCAGAGTAGGAGGCTGCATCTGCATAATGGTATTCAGATTGGTTTGAGTTGATAATTTTACCATTAATTTATCTATCTACTTTTGGAGTTCACTTGACTGCAAAGTCATTCTGGGGCAGTAGGTTCTGCAAATTACTTGTGAATCACTTAAAAAGCATTTCCCTTTTGAGAGTTCATATGTGCTTCAAAGTAATTTTCTATGTTCTTCTGTTATGAGAAACACTTGAATAGCAATTTCTAATTTGTATCCTTCAAGAAATTAATAATCATACAGACCCATCAGCTTCCTCTGTTTTTCCAAATTAAAGACTCTTTCTTATTAAATAAAATATTCACGTATTTAGACAAATTTGTTGAGTATTGCCTATAAGTAACTTTTAATTGCCAGTATTTCTCATTTACTTTCTCAGTACATTTACTGATTTACCTTACTGATTGTTTTAAACGTAGTTTTAGTCATAAAGGGCCAGATGATGCCTTCATCATCACTGGGTTATTGCTCCCAAACACACACTATTGTGCTTTCTCCTGCACAGTAAACATGTTTGTGAGAGGCCAGACTTAAATCTTAACAAAGCTGCTGCATAGTTTTCCTTCAGGGTCTTCTGTAAAAGCCTTTCTTAATAACAAGGAGGGTAAGGTTGCTGTTTCATTTAAATCAGGTTGCTATTTCACTGAGATCCTTGCTACTGTGTCATAAAGTCTTTGAATGTTGCCTGTAGATTTTTTTGGGAAGAGTAACTGCACTTACAGTTCTTTGGATCAGAGGACAACTTTTCTTCTTAGTTTGGTCAGCAATCATAAGAAGATTCCCATCTAAGACTATTCCCAAAAATAATTTTAAAAGAAAATGATGTGTTGCGTAACTCTTAACATATGTACATTTCAGGGCACTAATTTCAGGGTAGCACCTTCTTCCTGACTATGTCCACAGCACAGAGTTACCTGGAATATTGGATATTAACACTTCCCTAGCATGGAATAAAAACCCAGGCTCATGCAGCTAGTTTCCACCAAATTCACTAAGGGCCTAGGTCTCAGCCTTAGCCTTCTAGTAACATGTTATTACTCACTGTCAGTGCTGTCAGATTCAATTCTCTGCCACTTTTATTCTTGGTCTTCAGCCTTTTTTCTTGACTGATGCCTTACTACTGGAGCAAACACAAGCACTTCATTTGTCATAAGTCTGGCAGGCTACTCTTTCCTCTCTTCCTTCCTAACTTCTTTCTGTCACTTCAGACCTTTGGCTTATCCTAACTGACACAATAGAGACAGTAACTCTCTATGCATTCTGAATCTTAAAGCAGAAGCATGAAAATTCTATATAATCTATGCAGTCATCATATGTTACAGTCTTTAAATACTTTGTGTGATCTTAACACAGGAACTTCCAAAATTATAAACATTGTTTTACAGTATTAAAGTTAACTGACCTCCCCAGGAGCAATTTCTCTAGTTTTTCTCTTTTTTATTACATATACAAACTAAATTCTGACTTAAAAATCAGTTTTTAAAGTTGTACTTCAGCAGTACAGAACCAGCCAGCATCAGAATAGGGATGTGGACATTTTAAATTCTTAAACTATGTAATTATTTCACTTGCCTTGCCTTCTTCCAAAGCCTTTGTCTAGTATTTGTTTCATATGAGATGACTGAGGACTGAGCAGAGGAGTGGTCAACCAGCACATGGTACCCAATCAAGGCCTCTATGAGCAATGATTTTAAGAATATTATTATATGGTTACACTAAGACTAATACGGTTTTCTAATTTAATTGTCTTCATAATGGTGGAAAACAATACCTTTTTCTTTCATAGTGAAGAGAATTGAGATAAAATTTTGAAATGTTTAAAAATTTAAGAAACTTTATTCCCATTTTTTAGGTTATGTGAATTCTTAGGCTAGCTCTGTACTATACCCTCACTTGTACTACACTCACACATCTAAACTACCCACCTTTGCAGCTGTATTTGGGAACAACCTTTAGTGGAGTCTCAGAGAAAAGAGGTAGAGATGCTTGAGCCCAGAGTGGACAGGCCAGGCACAACCTGCCTTTCTTTCAAAAGCAGGACCTGAGCTCCAAAAACACATATGCACTGCTTTCACACCATATTTTTTTTTGCTTGAAATCAGAACACTGGGAAAAAGAGAGTGACAATACGAATCACATTTTAATTGAATGTCAGTTTTTCATTTCCTATATAATTTGGAGACACTTTCTGGTAAATACATTCCACAGTTTTGTATTATTAGATCTCTGTGTTCATGCAGGCATCTGTCTGTAGAGGCCATGCTGAACCATCCTTTGCAGATTAAGACATAGAATACTGTGACTTCTGTCAAAACAAGAGACAAAAACAGTCTTTCAAACAGCACAGTCATGTTGTGAAAACAGAAGACAATTCTAGGTGTCAGGGATTTCATCCTCTGGTCCTCTGACCCTGCAAGGAGTCAGTGGAGATGACTGACAAAAGCCATCCTGTTGGCCATAGAGCTACATTCACAAAGCAGGGGTCTACAGAGACACAGGAGAAGTAAGGGGAGGTTATAAAGTGTAAGGCTGGCCTCTGTTACCTCATATGGAAACTAGGCAGAAGTAAGTATGTGTCAAACCAGTCCCTCTAATACTCTTTTCCTTGTTCCAC